AGCGCCCCGAGCGAGGCGCTGCGCGCTGATTGGGTGCCCCACGAGGGCGGGACCGGGATTGGGGCCTGGCGGCTGCCGTCTGCGTGGCGGAAACGGGCGGGGATGCCTCCACGCGCATGCGGGAGGGCCGGCCGCCGGATGGCGCGGCTGGTTGGTTGCAAGAGGCGGGTCACCCCTTCTGTGGCGGACGCTGTCTTCGGCGGTGGGAGGGTCTGAGCTTGGCAGTACCCGGGGCCCGTGGTTGGAGCGGCGAGGAGAGTGCCCGGTAACGCCACTCGAAGGGGCGGGGCCTGAGAAACCTGAGAAGAGGGCGTGGCCAGGGCCCAGGCGGGCGGTCGCAGAGGTGAGAGGTAGGAAGTCACCGGTCTGGGGCAGGGCTGGAAGTTGCTCGTATGCTGGAATTCCTGGACTGCGGCAAGTGATGGGAGCTTTGGGGATAAGGCTCGGTACTTGGCACAGAATTAAAGTTTTGAGGGGTGGACAGACGGCACTGACAGAAATGGCTGCCCAGGCTTGGCTCCTTGGGGTGCGAGTCAAGGACTGTCTTTAGCCAACCTAGTTCTCTTTCTTGCAGGAGTCGGGCGGCACCAGACTCGGGGCTCCTCCAGGACAGAGGGAAAAAGAGAGGGAGAGGCTCGGAGTGGGGCTCTTGAGAAGGGAGGGAAGTTTGAGGGTGGGGAACCCTAAGTAGGGCAGAAGAGAGGTGATGGGCGACTGGAAGCCCCGGAATAGAGGAGAGGCTTTTGGGACAAGAAAGGGTTGGAGGGGCGACGTAGGAACGTCCGTGTTCTCTGGTGCTTGGAAGGAAAGAAGGATGGAAAGCAACTTCACCCCAGTAGGAGAGCCCGTGCTCCCACCCAAAGTGGGAGGACATTCAGGGCCCTGAGGTTTTTGCCCTCCCCACCTACAGGCTGCCATCATGAGGTTGAATCAGAACACTTTGCTGCTGGGAAAGAAGGTGGTCCTTGTACCCTACACTTCAGAGCACGTGCCCAGGTATCTGTCCCACTTGACATGGGGTGCAGTTGTAGCCGCACCCAGCGCTGTGTGACCCAGCTCTCCAAGGCACAGAGAGGAGAGTCAACCTTCCTTAGCCCCAATCTTAGAGGCTGTTTCTTTAAGAAGAATCATTGGTTGTGAGAAGTAATCACATACGGGAGACCACCCCCCCCCAAAAAAGCAGAAGCTGGGGACTATGACTTTCCTGGAAGAAGCTGCCCATCCTCCTCTTTTCCCTTTCACCTTCTCAGCTTTCTTTTTGGCCTTTCAGCAACGAATTCTTTTCTGTAAACTACATTTGTGTAAGGAAGAAAAATAAATTGTGTTCTTGCCTCATTGTAAATTGGTAACATTTCCCCGGAGCCACTGAATATGCTCACTTCTTTGAGATTAATGTTACCTTGTCCTAAAACTCTGAGCTGATGAGTGTTGTGATGTCTACCTTTTAAAAGGTCAGGGCTGAGTCACAGGATGGGACTCTTGCGGGACACTTGGCAAATGTCTGGTAGATGATGCAGGGAGGTATTCTCTGCTTGTAGTTTTCTTTCTGGGGGTTCCTTCTGCCCTGACTCAATGGGGATCTGTCCAGTCTTCTTTGCTGAGGTTGGCTTGCCATATACTTCCCCTCTGGAATTTGAGGAATATTTGGTTTCAGACTGCTCCTCCGCACTGACCCGAAACAGGATAGGAAGCTGGATAAATAGAACTGACCCCTCCTGCTGTTCTCACGTAACACCAGCTTGCCTCTGGTTCTTGTGCCTGTGGTCCTGTTTTAGGAGCACTCATACCCTTTCTTTGGGTCTTCTGTGAAGTCTCTGTTAGCTCTGGGGGGCCCTCTTCCTGATCCTCCATTTCTTTTAAAGTGTCAGACCTATGCCTGGGAATCAGTCGGGCATGTCTCAGGCCACCTCTCTGTCCCTGCAGGTACCATGAATGGATGAAATCAGAAGAACTGCAGCGTTTGACAGCCTCCGAGCCGCTGACCCTGGAGCAGGAGCATGGCATGCAGCACAGCTGGCGGGAGGATGGAGACAGTGAGGAGCAGAGCGCCCCCTGCCCCCCGCCCCCTGCCCCGACCCTGGTAGTGGGAGGGCTGACTCCAGAGGCAATCTCCAGGTTCCAGGTTCAATCCTTTTCTTACCGCCAGCCACAGTCCTTCTGGGGCCACAGAGGCTTTGGGAAAAGCCTGGAAGGTGGCAAAACTCCTGTATCCTCATGCCCACTGAAGCCAGTCCCTGTGGCTGACGCTTCTGTCTTTCCCACACACTGCACCCGGCTTGGAAGGACTTAGAGAAAGTAAAGTATCTGGGTTCTGGCTGTTAAACTTAGGCCCTGCCCCTCACATTCCTCACCACAGCTTAGTGTGGTTATTGTCCTCCTCTGGGTCCCTGCCTTCTGAGAGTTTGGTTGCTGTTTGGAGAGGCCATCTTTTCCTGCATGAGGCAGATTTGGAGCTTTGTAATGAGCTGCAGAAAGCTCTGGGCCCCTTTTCTCCTGTCAGACTCAGAGATAGTGGTGTTCTGCAGTTCTCTGGCTTGAGTAGGAATACCATTCTTTCCTTTCTCCTCTGGGGAGTGTGAGTGATAACCCTGCCATCTGCCTCCTTAGAATGTACCTTCATTGTGCTGGATGCAGAAAAGTGGCAGGCCCATCCAGGCACCACCGAAGAGAGCTGCATGGTGGGAGATGTGAACCTCTTCCTCACAGATCTGGACGACCCCACCTTGGGGGAGATTGAGGTCATGATTGCAGGTTTGTTCTACCTGCCCCTGCCTTACCTCCCTCCTAGCCCTTGGATCTGCTGACTCGCAAGCCTGGTGGGGCTGCATAGGCCCCTCAGAGCCCAATGGAAGGCTCCATATTGGTGAGCCAAGTACCTGACTGGGGCAGACCGCCCACTTGGCTCCCCTCAGCCTGGTTCACCCTGGGTTCATCACTTGGTTGCTTATGCTTAGATGTGAACTTAACCTTTGGTTTTAGGTCTTCAAAATCAAGGATGGTCTGCCCATCCTTGGGGTGGGCTGGGGACCTTCTGAAAACAAATGGTCTTCTCTGGAGCATCTTGCCATACTGTGGGAGGAGTACTTTCCATCTCTGCATCCTTCTTGGTCCTTGCTTCCCAGAGAGCTACTTGTCCCCGTGAGGCAGCATACTGACTCCATGAAGTACAGGGGTCAGTTTGGAATCAGATTGCTGGGTTGCAAGCTGCGAGACCTTGGGCAAGTCATGTAGCTTCTCTGTGCCTGTTTCCTCGACTGTGGTGCAGAATGGTAATGAAAGTACCAACTTCAGAGAATTGTGGGGATTAAATGAGATTGCATCTGTCAGGTGCCCACACTAGAGTCTGGCATGTGGGATCAGCTGCTGCTGCTGTTGTTTCTTATAGAGCCCAGCTGCAGGGGCAAGGGTCTTGGCACCGAGGCCGTTCTCATGATGCTGTCTTATGGTAAGGAAGTCTGGTGGACAATGTGGGGAGAAGTGGCCAGGCCCTAAGTGAGCCTTGTTCAGGCTTGAGGGTGGGGGGCAGGTGACAAGGTGCTCCTCTGCAACCTGCAACAGGTGGGGTGGGGGTGTTGGGTGGGAGTGGGGGTGACCTTTACCCTGCTCCTTGTCCCTCTCTCTGATCTAGGAGTGACCAAGCTAGGTCTGACCAAGTTTGAGGCTAAAATTGGGCAAGAAAATGAACCAAGCATCCGGATGTTCCAGAAACTTCACTTTGAGCAGGTGAGGACATCACTGGGGAGAGCGAGGCCTAGGTCTGGGCCAAGGGCATGGTGATGCTGTAACTTAGTAGGCCCTGCGCTCCCTGGCTCACACAGGTGGCTGTGAGCAGCATCTTCCAGGAGGTGACGCTCAGACTGACAATGGGTGAGCCCGAGCGGCAGTGGCTTCTGGAGCAGACTAGCCATGTGGAAGAGCAGCTCTACAGAGATGGGTCAGCAGAGCCCTGCTGACAGCTGGGCCTGTGGGCAGCCACCCTGTGTGAGCAAGGGTGCCAGGACCTTACATTCCAAAGACTATTATCCCGTGACGGGAGATAACCATACGGCGCCTTTGGGGCCAGAGTGCTCTTGGCTCTGCCACAAGCTGAAAATCACCTTTCGGGGCGCTTCAGACTTGGGCTGGGTTTACCTTGGCTTCCCTCTGGCTGGTAGGGTGGCTGAGGAGACTCCGAGGCCAGTCCCCTCTCCCCTCCTGGTCAAACCCGGACTCAGACTCTAGGTACCTGGAATGGAGGGTGGGAGTCCATGGGAGAGTTGGGGCCTGGAGGACGCACGGGAATAGACAGGCCTTTCCCTTTAGGGGCCAGAGGTGCCACCCTGGCTGAGAATAAAGCACACATCAGGCCAGCTTTCCTTGCTTTCCTGTTTGGTTCATGTGGAGAAGAGCTTCCCGTCCTGCGGGTAGGGATGTGGCAGGGGGAGCTCAGCCCTGCAGAAGCAAGCTGGTGTGACCCTGGGAGCTCGACCCTGGAAGGACAGGTGGCTCAGAGAGGGAGGGAGTGGCCCAGGCCCTCCACCTGGTGTCCTTGCTCCTTTCAAACAATTCGTTTTGGATACAGCTTTTCACATGCACAGTCTGGTGTGAGACTGTGGAGTCAAACAATTCGTTTTGGGTACAGCTTAGCTGCTGGTGGCTGGAGACCACCCCTTTGCTGATGAAGCTCAGCAGTGGCCACCTGAAGAGGGCGTCGGGCTGCCTGCGGCGTCCCGCCTCCCTCCCAGCTCCGCTCTCACCTCTGCCTCTGGGAGCAGCTGCACCTGACCAGGCCACAAGGGGGCAGTGGAGGCACAGGCTCCGGTGGCCCTGCTGTCACAACTTCAAAGGGCTGGCCAGGTCTCCTCCCCATCAGAGGGGGGACACACTTTGACTCCTTTTCCCTTGCTCTGTCATGATCTGGGGGGCTGTCAAGAAGGTCAGGCATGTTTTTAAAACAGCCACGGAAGTCTTGTAGGGCATTTTCCAGGCTGGGAAACAGGCCAGGAGGAGTGAAGTGACTTACCTAGTGCCTCCCAGCCCCCTTGATTCTGATGTCTCACACCAGACTGTGCATGTGAAAAGCTGGAATCCAAAACATGCCCTATTCTAAGACAAAAGCTTTGTTTACGGTGGGCACTCCAGCCCTTCAGCGATAATTCCCTCCCAACCACCTGTCCAGCCTAATCAAGAGTGAAAGGTCCCCCAG